GGACACGCGCGGACACCTGCGCGGGACACCGCCCCGCTCCTCAACCGCCCCGGCGCAGGGCACCGCCCCGCTCCTCAACCGTCCCCGCACCGCTCCTCAACCGTCCCGCCGGCAGGTACCGAACTGCTCCTCAACCGTCCCGGCGGGAAGTACCGAACTGCCCCGCAGCCGTCCCGGCGCAGGGTCCCGCACCGCTGCTCAGCCGTCCCGGCGCAGGGTCCCGCACCGCTGCTCAGCCGTCCCGGCGCAGGGCACCGCAGCGCTCCGCGTCTTCCCCGGCGGCGGACACCGCACCGCGTCTTCCCCGCGGGGTCCCGTCACCTTCCGTCTGCGCCGGCCGCCCTGTGCCTGCCCTGCGGGGGCAGCAGCTGCCTCTCTGGTTTTGAGCAGACCCTCGGCTCCGAGGGCGAGGCCTTCCGACAGCATGGGGCGCTTCACCGTTTGGGACTACGTGGTCTTTGCCATCATGCTGGCGATCTCTGCTGCCATCGGTGTCTACTACGGCTTTGCGAGAGGGGGACAGAAGACCTCCAAGGATTTCCTCATGGCGAGCCGCGAAATGTCAGCCTTCCCCGTTGCCATCTCCCTCACTGCCAGCTTCATGTCAGCGATCACCGTGCTGGGCACCCCTGCTGAGATCTACCGAAACGGGATTATGTTCTGCATGTTCGCCTTTGCTTACACCTTGGTGGTGCTGTGCAGTTCTGAGATCTTCCTGCCTGTCTTTTACAAGCTGGGCATTACCAGCACCTACGAGGTAAGCTGAAGTAGAAGGAGCCTTCCCACATCCTTCAGAGAGCTGGGGACCTCTCATGTTTGCTCTCCACGTGTCTCCCCTCAGTCTTTTCCTCCAAGGCTCCCTGCACTTTCTGCTGCCCTGTATCTCCAAGGCCGTGTCCCACTCCCAAGGCTCTGTCCCAAAGTATGCCCACATTGCCTCTGCAGGGAGGAGATACTCAACCCTGCTCTTCTGGCTCAGGAGCTGTGCACCATGCCAGATCTGAATTGGTAACGATGCATATAATACTCCCAACAGCAGAGTGCAAGAACATAGCAACCAGAATTCTCAAATCATGGTCCCTCCTCATAGGTTTCTAAGTTCAGGTGCTGCCAAAAAAGCCCCTTCTGACAGAGTGTGTATTTGTCCTGTTCCTAGAGATTTTGGGGAGATGCCCTTTCCACCTGAGGCTGTTCACACTGGTGATTGTCTTCACAACCATGTTTATACAGGGAGGTCAGCAAATGCTCTGTGTTTGCAAGAGTTTTTGAACTTACACCAAAGAATGGCTGAGCTGATCTTCAGCTCACAATGTACGGTAGAGCTATAGGTAGCAGCGCAGAGACTATTTTGAGGTGAGGGAGCATCTGGTCAGGACTTCCTTCTGATGTTAGAAGGTCCGTGCAACCTGTTTATCTTCCTACATGGACATAGTACCTAACTGCAGATATGGAGGCAAATTGCTCTTTTTGAGAAGGAACATTGAGGAAGGGATGTGGGTGTAGGTGATGGTGAGTTGCTTTGAGCAGTGCAGAAGGCAAGGTTACCGTAGGAGGAAGCTGCCAACCGCTGAAAACCTTCCGCCCTGTCTCGCAGCAATTCAGATGGACTCATAATTCCAGAGTTTCCAAATCAACTAAGGCTTGGGAATAGCCATAACATCATCTTTTTTCTCTCATTTCACAATGCATGTGTGTTCTGTTGATCGCTGATATGTCACTGTGAACTTTTAGGTTGCCTTGTGAAGAGTCAAGAGTTGGACTTGATGATCCTTGTGGGTCCCTTCCAACTCAGGATATTAAATGATTCTTTGATAATATATGCTGGCCTTTTCCTTGTCTATCGGGTGCCTTGAGGCAGCTGGGTAGCACTGGGTTCCACTCTGCAGATTCCATCGTATACTGGAGCTCATGTCTACTTCACTTGCTCCTGTGTCATTATGCAGTGGTGAGGTTTATCAAGAAATACCAAATCAAGGTGAAAGAGATATCAATCAAGGCATCTCTGAGAGTTTTGGTACTCATGAAAATGCAGAAACAACTCTATGCCCCTTCTCTATTGCTTATTGCTTCCCTCTAGTCCTATCAATATTGCCAGGTTTTGATACAAACATTTGTTTTTTCTTCTCTTTTGCAGTATTTAGAGCTTCGTTTTAATAAATACCTGCGCCTCTGTGGAACGATCCTCTTCATTATACAAACGGCAAGTAAACCTTAAAGCTTTTGTGTGGTCCTTGTAGCCACCAGTATTCACAGAATCACAGAATCTTAGGGGTTGGAAGCGACTTCGAAAGATCACCCAGTCCAACCCCCCTGCCAGAGCAGGGTCACCCAGAGCACATCACACAGGAATGCGTCCAGGTGGGTTTTGAACGTCTCCAGCAAAGGAGACTCCACAACCTCTCTGGGCAGCCTGTTCCAGTGCTCTGATACTCTCACAGTAAATAAATTTTTTTCTGATGTTTATGTGGAACCTGCTGTGTTCCAGTTCTTCGGCTTAGTGTAGCTGCCTGTTTCTCTGGAGGGTTTTTGAGGTTACTACAGTGTGCGGGTGGCTGGGAATGAGAAACAAAGCTCTTTCAGCTCCAAAGCAATGAGGCAGGGAGCAGATAATGGGCTACCTGCCCCTTTGGTCTCTGTGTGCATTGTTGAGCACCCAGAGCAGTCACTTGGCATCAGTGCCATGCCAAGAGACAAGTGACCATTCACTGCAGGGTAGCAATGTAAAAAGCAGTTGTTCGCCTGCCTGCTAGAGAAACCCACAAAATGTAAACATGCGCCAATTATCTACAGTGGAAGTTTTCATCCTCTGATCCATGGATTCTGGGGGTCTGAGTAATTCTCAAGGGTCTGTGAAAGTTGGCAAAACAAGCTGTCAGGAGCTGTCATTTCCTATGCAAGCATTTGTACCACCACCACTGGAAAAAAAGAAAAAAAAAAAAGTGCCTGCAAACTGGGAAGCAGCACATTACTGCTTTGGAGTGTATTAAACCAAAGCAGTCTTTCAATTATTGTTGATGCAGTTTGCTGTATCCAGCCCATTCGGTGAGTCAGTATGGGAATTATTTCTCAGGTGTTATGAATTTGGGAACTACAGACTGCATAAATGCTCGAAGAGAAACCATCTCAGAAAGCTATGACCTTTTCCAGGAATTTCTTTTGATTTTACATCTTTTGTCCCCTTCTAGATGTTATACACTGGTATTGTCATTTACGCTCCAGCTTTAGCACTAAATCAAGGTAAGATAAGTATGCTGCAACTGTTCTTCTGTGTTATACTTTTCCTGCATATAGTACTGGTATGCTGTTTTTTGACAATGCACACCTAAAGATAAAGCTCAAGGATTGACTGTGAAGACTTCTAAGATTTCTCTTGATCCCGGTGGGAACTCTGATAGAGGGCCTCCCAGCAGTAATTCTAGTCCCTTAATCTCTACCTGTAAGGAGTTCTAGAAGAGGGTCAAGGAGAAAAGCAGCTCTTATTTACTCTTCCTCTTATGCAATATCCTCAGGTCATGGCTATATTCAGAAGACTAAGTAAATTTGAAGGCAACAGAGATACTAAATGCACATTTAATTCCCCTGTTAAGTGCTCTTCCAGAGGAGAGAGGGGAAAATTGTGTATATAGGGTTTTGAGCTGCCTGGAACTGTTTAACTCAGGCTATCATTTTGCCTGGAAAAACAAATTAACAGCAAAGAAATCTTGAACTTGAGATCTTTGTTGTGATATTTACAAAATGAAATGTTTCCATTTGCTACTTCAAAATCACTCTCTGCTTTTAAAATGAGCCACATTTATAATTAAAGGGGGAAAAAGCTTTTATGTGGAGCCAAATGAAACTTTTAATCTTATACAATTAATTTGTCCTCTTGGCAAGAAAAGGCAGTAACAAAATGCAAACAGAAATGGATCATTTTGGCTAGAATGAAAATCACGCTTATTTTGTTTGTTGAGGTTTTTTTGGCTTGTTTGTTGAACAAAAAGGAAGAAAAAAAACTGCAACACTTTCTGTATTGGTCTCTTCTGGTTTATAAGTCTCACAGGTTTTATGTCCTGGATGCTTATATTTGCTCTGAAAATACACTCTAAACCAAACAATGACCTAGCTGGCTCCCAACCAGAAACAATGATTTTCATTAGTTTTGTTGCAGTGTTTCTCATTAGCCTGAGCTATCTGTCAGGGAGCCTCATAGTGCCTTGTTTGGCAGTACATGTGTGCCAAGCTGGGGCAGTAACAGCTTGCGTGCCAATCACTACGCAGTGATGTCTGGCATAGACTTATTCTAAAGTTTGTCTAAAAGAAAGAAGAATAAATGAAAGAGTAGTTTAGGGTGACACATTTCTTACAGACCATGCTCAAACCACCTTGCCTCCATGAAGAATCTCCATGCTCTTTACCTGCTTAAATCCCTGCCTAAAGACTCCCTGGGACTACCCAGGTGCTTCAAAGGAAGGACACATATTTCAAAACCTTCCTGAGTTTGGGCCTACAAGCATATTGCATGTGTTGGTTGACAGCATTCACACTGAAGATAGAAATCCTCCTACATCTTGAAATATATTTAACTGTTTATTACTTTCTAATGTCTGTAGCAGCTGCATAATTTTTAGAACTTATCAGGGTGAATCCTCTGATTTAGACTCAGAAATCTTCTGTTCCATTTTTTTATTACCTCCTATTTTTGATGTTAACTTACTTCCATTCTTTGTCAGAAACCAGGTGGGGGTAAAAAAATCCACCTAATTTTATTTCTCCCCTGGCACCTCATTCACACTGTTGCTATTTCTCTCTTTTTCAGTCACTGGCTTCGACTTGTGGGGTGCGGTGGTGGCAACTGGTGTTGTTTGCACTTTCTACTGCACACTGGTATGTGGGCTCATCAGCTGAGAAAAATCTGTGTTCCTTTCACTGCTCGCACTAAATAAGGAATTTATCGGAAATTAGCCATAAAACTGGGTTACCCCATGGGAGTACATTTCACAGTGTAGCTATGGCCACAGGCTCATACTTGCCCAGGGACTTCTCTGGATAAAAAGGAAGTCTTAAGACTTAAACATTTTTTGTTTTGATACATTCCAGCTTCTGTTGTTGCTGAAAGAAAAGTGAAAATATAGATTTCCCTTCCTAAAAATCCTCATGTGATTATTTTTCTAATCCAGTAGTGTTTAGCTGTGTAATTTGTCAAGCACCTCCTTACTGCAACCTCAATTGTCTGTTGTTGAATGGAGCCACGGAAAATAGCAAGTGCCACATGAACAGATTGGCCTTTAGATTAGTGTTAATTGACCAAGTGTCCAGAAATTATTAAATGGAACATCAGTGATGTAAATTTATTTCTATATGTTGGGTTAAAGAATGTATATTTTTATTCACATGAATGGTACACCTTCTGGAGTTAGTGGTACTGTATTTATTTAAAATGAGCATTGTCTGCCCATTTATCTTTGATTCAATCTTTGATGAAGGAAATACTGGATTGAACTATGTATATGGCCAAAGTAAATTTTAGTGCACTTCAAAATAGGGCCAGCATGTGCTGAATAGGTTTCAGGATGCAACTCTTAAAACATCCTAGTGCAGAATTACTTCTCAAAAGGAAGAAGATGAAATTAATCTATTACATATCATCCTCATAGTAACATCTCCTGTAGTTTAATGTGAGCACAAAGCAAGAATGCTGCTGCCCTGTCATACCTAATACATGCTGTTCCTCATGCAGGGTGGTTTGAAGGCAGTGGTGTGGACAGACGTTTTTCAGGTTGGAATAATGATCGCTGGGTTTTCATCTGTGATCATACGAGCTTCGGTGATTCGGGGAGGAATTGGAATGATTGTGAACGATTCCTACCATGGAGGAAGATTAAACTTCTGGGAGTGAGTTTGTACTTGCAGATGATGTGCCTCTTCATTCCTACCAATAGAGCCCATGTGACAAACTGTGAAATTAAATTGCTGCCGAAGGAGGGGGAGGGGAAGAGTTGTGACCCAATTTTTATATTGTTTTTAAACAAGCTTACCTAGTTTGAAGATATTTTGTAGGTTTTACACCATGCAAAGTCATGTAAAGACCAAAGCCTTTTTACTTTGTCAAGAAAGTGTTTTAGGAATGCATTTTGGATTCCACTGAAAGTAAATGGTGAACAGGAGAGGTCAATTGTATTTGCAGTTTGCAAACAATTGATTTGGCATTTCAGCTACTGAACCAAAACAGCTCAAGAAATAATAGTTTTTGTCTAATCTGAAGAAGGGAAATGTCTTCTTTTGCCTGAAAGAAAAATTAAAAGTAGTTTTGATAGTATTTCACTCTCCATTATTGTAACTAGTCATAGCCTAAAAATACCATTTTGCAAGGTCAAGAATATCCATTCTCTCAGTGTTGAATCAGAAACCACTCCAAGTTAGAAAAAAAAGTTATTGGACTTTTGATGAGAAACTTCACCCAGTGCTAATAATGAAAATTTAGTGTGACAAGTACTATCTTATGTCGTTTTGTCTGTCAGTTCACAATACTCATCAGGTTTTTCTGTAAAATTCTTCAGAAAATTCTTCAGTAAATAATTTCAGGTATTTTTTTTTCTTATGAACAGCCATTTTTTCAATCAATTTGGATGTCTTGGCAGTTGTATTATCGCATTGCTTCTTTCCCCAGTCATAGAGTTCACAGACAGGAAAAGAGATAGAATAAAGGCATGTAATAGATAAAAAACAATATTATGTTGCTCACCAAGGTAAGCATAATTTAGTGCTATCCTAAAGTATGATTTAAAAAAACCACACCTTTATATTGGTGTCAGAATGATGTCCCTCTAGATAAACAGGAATATTGGACTTACTACTTTTTTTTATTTAGTTAAACTTCACTTTTGTCAGATCAGAGTGTTTCACTGGGTCAGGATTTCATCTCTGAGTTTCAAAATTTGCTTTATGTGACTTGATGTAAAGCTGCAGTATCTGAATGTGCAAAATCTGGCCTAATAAACAGTTTGTATTATGACAAGAGTGAGGAATTCTTTTCTCGTAAACATTAAGGTCTTCTAATAATGAGAATATTTTCAAATTCTGAATTTTTCTCTTTTTTCTCTCTTTGTAGCTTTAATCCCAGTCCTTTGCAAAGACACACCTTCTGGACTATTGTTGTAGGTGGGACCTTCACATGGACTGGCATCTATGGGGTCAACCAGTCCCAAGTACAGAGATACATTTCATGCAAAAACAGGTTCCATGCAAAACTGTAAGTCTGCATGCAGTAACTCTTAATGTCTGAATTTAGCAGTGACTGTTCTTTACAAGGGGGATTTTTAAAAGGGAAGTTTTTGGTCTGTATAAGAAACCTATTTTTAAAGGGTAACAACTTTTGCTGATTTGTTCTGTGGACCAGGTAGGAGACAAATCAGCAAAATAAATACTTGTATTTGAAATACATATAATTGCTGTAACATTGAACTTTGTGCCAGAATGTTTCACTGTGCCAGTATTCTTGCATGCAAATAACTGCATTAAGTTTATTTGCAACTTAACGACCAAATCATGTAGTACTTATGCTGAAGCCGTATCAAAACAGCATCTTGAATTGCTACTCTACTAAACCAAAGTCAGTGTGTGTGAATTTTGCATAAGACTAAAAGATTTGCCCATACCTATGAGTATATGCCTGAGAAAATGCAGAAGTGTTTTATGTAGTGATAAAATTGCTGCAGAACCAGATATTTTGTTTTCTTAATAATAATGATTTTTTTTCTTTAGGTATTCACTATGGAAAGTGGGAGACAGTTCTGTTTTCCTCGAATTTAAACATTTCTGATCTGCCTTTGCTCTAGAATGGCACATATTTGCTAATTCTATTATCTTTCCTTCATCATTACTATAATGCCAGTAAATAATAACTCGGGATTTAAGAATTATTAGCAAGCTCATTAAGTCTATTTATAGGAGAAATATAGAAATAACTATAGTCCCGATAAATTCTATAATACAGTGACCTACAGAGAAGGAGTTTTATGAAGGCTTTCACTTCCTAAAGTTGGCAGAGTACCCACAAAGTCATGCACAGCTTAGAACTGAAATAATTTTGGTTATGACAACAACTAAAGGTCTACTTTTCTGTCCTTTACGCTGCAGACAGGAATGAGCTGATGCTCATCATCAGCCACATCTCCAACTTACAGTGCCCCATCTCCAAAACACCATGCAGCTTCTCCACAATCTCTGGCACATGTCTGGGTTCCAGGTTCTCGGCACTGCAGTTAGGCAGTTCATCCCTCACCTGTAATGCTGCCTGGCAGGACTGCATATAGAAAAACAGCCATTGTTTGTGCCCTAGTGAGACTGTTCTTCCTGAGCACCTGCTCCACTTAGAGCTTTGGTCCTCTCTTGCATCCTCACTGCCCTCATTATAAGGAGGGACACCTCCAGTCCAGCCCAGAAGCAGAGTGTGCCAAGGGGAATCTGTTACCGGGGCAGATTATGGGCAGATTTTCCGAGCTGTTGCAGCAGTTTTGACCGGGATGGAGGCTATCTGCTTCAGGAGTGGTTTGGATAGGATTTGTAGCTCATATAGTATTAGTGGTTGCACAGCCTTAACCAGTGGAGCTAGTGTGTGTGTGTGGTTGAACCTCATGGCATCTACTTGTGCCTCACTCGCACAGGGAATTTCTCCTGCATAGAGAAGTAATTTTGTATAATGGTCGCAGCTTGTCACAACTATAAACACTGCCATTCTGCAGTGACCATCTGGTTCATTTGCAAATGTAATTAGGCACATCTGGCAAGTCACATTGATGTCCGGCACCTCTTCTTGCCATGTAGCTGTACGTAGAAGTGTAAAATGTCATCAGGCCCAAATAATAGGGTTTTGTAGCCCTGTGGCATTTACTGTAAAGCTTTATAAGTGACAGCACATGAATAAATCAGAGTTGAGAACATAATTCTTTCACAGATCCCAACTTGAATTTTTTGGGAAGGCCTTTAACAGTGGCACAAGGGTAGGAATTTTCTCAGGCTTGGGAAAAGGATTTCACTCCATTCAAGAAACACACCACTAAGTAGGAGGAGCACATGCTGGCATTCTCAAACAGTAACTAGGCAAATTGTACATAATGCTCATATGAACGATAACAGGCACTCAGGGCAAGAGAAACACATTTTCAGAAAATTTTCAAGGTCATCATCTGGAATGTTTCAGTGCTAAAATCAGCCAGTCTGAAACAACTAATAATAAAGCTTGTGTAGTCACAGTGCCTACGACACCCAAACCTACTTCACCCAGAATTAATGGGAACTGCTCCTTCCAATAGTACTACAGTTATTAATTTCCAATGCTTAGTCATAGGTTGTACCATGAGCTGGGATGTAAATCAGAAGCAAAAAACCAAACAGCTTAATTTTCACTGTTAAACACTGACACAGTTTCAAAACAAGAATTGCTGGATCCAGACAAACAATTTATTTTGCTTCTGCATTTTCCCTTGCCTTCCTAATCTTTACTACAGGCTCTGGACTAATACTGCTATTACTAAGAGTTGGATTGGTTTAATTCTTTGGTTGAATTTTGTACTAAAACAGCTTCTGAGTGCCTTACATCAAGGCAGATCATACTAATGCATTAACAGCTTCAGCTAAATGCATGCAAGACATCCAACCAAGACGTAAGAATCATAAGAAGATGACTAGTTAATTTTTAAAAATTAGAGAGAAATTTAAAGTGCTGCTAGTTCTGTTTTCAGGCCACCCCTAATTGAAAGTACAAAACATAAATGCAGACTTTCCTTACTATGTCTAAATCGGCTTTTGTTTAATATAGTTCCTTTTTAAGAGTTTATTAACATCGTGCTTGCCAATAATATTTTCTGTGGTATAAAACTGATAGTTCAACTAGTTAATCTACATTTATGGCTTTCTGAAAACGTTCGTTTCAATGTCTAACAAGGCCTGTAATGTTAGGTTTACTTCTTCATTAATCCTGATGGTCCTCTAGAGCAGCCCGAAGGCTGATGCCCCTTAGTTTCTCTGGAACTGAAAACACTGTAAAGCCTCCTGAACCATTCCAGGCAGGCATGTATTTACACAGATACCAAAGGTTCTCATAGTGGAGGTCTTAACAGCTAGCACAGGTCCAGGGTATATAATCTGACCCATCAGACAGTTAAATTGCTATCAGTGGATGATACACAGATAACCTGGAGGCAACTGCTGGAAAGGAATGCTGTTTTTCAAGGCTAATGGGGGTGCTCCCTTGAACTTACCACCCTAGGTGAGAAGGACTTTATGACCCAGAAGTCATCAAGAGCTGAGAAACATTTGAGAACATCAGATAGTTAAATGGAAGGGAAAGGATCTCACTAGGGGAGGGTATAGGTATGGAGAACAATTGTTTTTTATGGTCTGTAGACGCTGCCTGTTGTGTGCAGCAAAAGTAGCATTTCTGCTCAGTCTCATCATATAGCTGTAGCTCTGGTTGACATGTGGGGAGAGATGGGATTACTGGACCATACCAGGGTTCCAGTTGTTTAGTTACTAAAGGGTGAGCCCAGAAGCTGGTGGCAACCTCTGCTCTCTGGAAGTGGCAGCTGCGGGTGGCTCCAGACCAGATAACAAGTTCCAAAGCCTTGTTGCTGCCTCCCATGGAGGAGGAAATGGGGGATTTGTGGCCCTACAAGGGTAACTCCTGCATTGTGTAAGCAATGCATTGCAGCTCCAAAAGCAAGACTGCTGATGCTGACAAAAAGGATCCCCACCTTTTGATCTGGGGCACCCCACCTTACAAATCTGTCTGGAGTTTGTCTTTAACAAGACAAGTGGTGAGAGGGGGAAAGAGCATCTTCATGCTAGCTGTCAGCAGAGTAAAACTCGTGCACCTGATGAAACCTGGGGATTGCCATCTCGATCCCACCATCTCCCAAGCAGGCTTTGTCAGCAGACTGTACCACCTAAACCAGCAGCATAATGTGTATATTTAAAAACATGATCTCACACCGAGTGAAATGGTGGGAGCTGTACTGGGACTCCCTTTCTAGTGGGCTACCACTGTCTGATCTCCTCAGTGCTGGCACCAGCCTTTTTTGTTGGCCCTGGCAGGGTCTTGCGGGATGTTGAGCTCTGGTGTTTCTGTGCATGTTGGTGCAGGTCCCTCTACATCAACCTCGTGGGCCTCTGGGCGATATTGAGCAGCGCAGCGCTGTGTGGCCTGTCCCTCTACTCCATCTACAAGGACTGTGACCCATGGACATCAAAGAAGGTGTTGGCATTTGACCAGGTAGGGCCTCATATTTCAGGGGAAGCTGGTATCCTGTCTCTGCAGCCATAATAACCAGATGAGGCAGGGGGTTCAAGAGGCAGGGGATTAGGAATAATGACATGCCTGAGTCCCATATTGGGTGAGTCTGTAACACTGAGGGATTAAGCTGAGACCATGGTGGAAGGGAGTATCCTGGAGAAAGCAGAAGAACTGTTCTTGGCACTGTGCAGTCCCAGTAACCCCTAGCTGTCCCAGAGCTGCAGGTCTCTCAGCGCCAGGTAAGAGATGGCAGAGACAGCAGCAATATGGAGAGTGTTCATTCCACCCACGTCTGCAGGTATTTGGGTTTTTCACCCCAAATGGGTCTGGGAGTGCCAGCATTGTGTTAAACAGCACTTGAGAGAGAAGCGAGGGGAAGAGGCTGCAGTTAGGGAGAGCTGAAACAGCTGTGTGAGTGGCTGCAGGCACCAGCAAGCTGCTTGGTGTCATCTGACCTAAATGTGTCCAGTGCCAAGGAAGGCAGAAACTTTTTCAGATTTGAAATATAATCATGCCTAAAGCACACACCTGTAAGAAGGCTGTCAGCAGGA